TGTTTATCGATTCATGACATTAGCAGACGTGTTTGTGTGGCACATGCATGATGCCATATTGCCAAGATATTAATATTATGACGTATGTTAGAACTACACAATAATTAATCTTAGAATGCTGTTTGTCCTACACAAAGTATAGTGTGCATATAAATTTTTTTCTCTTTATATGCTCCCATTGGAGCATAGCCTCACAGATTGTCCATTGGATTTCGTCCCCAACGTTATCCAAAACATTGGATGCATTATCATAAAAAAAAATTTATTTGGGTTTTGGGACGAGTTTGGTGGAAGTCAGGGCCTTTGACGTCCATAAAAAGTGGGTGCCCCACCACTGTACAAAGAGCACAGGATATTATATTATATTATTGTCATTATCATAGTATTTTTTCAATTAATTGAGATCGGCTATTGGGATATTATATTATATACAAACATCAATGTAAGCAGGAAACGGCATTTGAATTATGGAATTTGCTAATTAGCGTGTATACTATATTGCCATCGGGGCATATGTTGGATGGGTGATCTACTTGGGAATAGATTTCCTTCTCTTCTAAAATTTTCGGAACCACCTTGTAATCACTAAATGATTATTTGGAAAAAAAAATGGACTTTACTTGTCTAGCACTTAGATTTCACCCTCCAAAAATTGGACGGTCTCTATTCAATTTTTGAGACATTACGTTTTTTTTTTTTTTTTTCCTTTTTTTCTTGATTTTTGCCCGTACATAGTGAAATTTGACAAAAAAAATTATTGAGGAATTTGAAGAAGAATTTTACCTGATGAAGTAAATGAACAGTCTACTCCCACATGAGTATATAATCTTTGAGCAAAATAATCAACAAAGAAACCAAAATATAACTCAAAATAAAGAACAGTTGAATACAAAATAGCGAATGAATGCATACACCATGGGTAGTGGAAGGTTGTTTTATACCTTTTCAAATCCCAATAAAATAAGCGCCAAAGGATCAGGGAGAGCGGGTATACTATGCTCACGTTGCATAGTTTTTGCTTCTACTCCCTCCGTCCAAAGACCTACTATTTGGGATGATTTTTTCAATTTAAAATTTTGAGAACCATGTCAAAATTATCAGATGATTGTTTTCAAAAAATGAATTTGAAATTTTAGTTTTTTAACTCTTAGATCTCATTGTTTAAAAATTGGATGGTCATTATTCAATGTCGAAAAATTATATTTTTCCAAGTACATAGAGGGTACAATTAAAATATTTTTTTTTTATTGTCCCCAAAATTTGGGAACCTAAAATTAATTAAAAGTGGAGTTTTTTCCGAGGGAGTAAAAAAACAATCTACTCCGGAGGAGGTATATATATTTTAGCAATTAGTAAAGTGATTTCTTCACCCTCGCTGTCGAATTCCTAAAACTCCTCCAAATTTCCGTACGGATGTTACAAAATACGACCAAAATGGGAAGAAAAATTAAAATATTAACATGTTCCAAAAGGATTATATTGTACTCTTACTCCTTCAGGCCTTATTTCATACGATGTAAAATTTTTGGATCCACCACAGAATTGTCAAATGAGTGATTTAAGACCAGTGAATTTTGGGTCGCTTATATTTGGTTGTCAACAAATTGGAACGCTTTATCTAATCTCAACGAGTTTTTTTTTTGCCTGTAAAATTTGTTCTTTTGTTTTTTTTAACAAAGTAAAAAAACTAGTAATATAATGACTTATGGCTTTATTGAATGTACGGCTCTTGGTAGAACAAAATATCGGATCAAGATTCATATAACGAACCCTACATGATTAGAAAGGGGGTATAAAATTGCATCCATGCATGAACTTTTTTCCACCTGGTGGATTCTAGTGCCTTTAAGTCTTCCAAAGTCAAATATGCTCCCTTCCTATCTCTTTTCTCATGATCCTTTCTCCTCTTTCTATTTATGTGGACCTAAATATTAAACGTTAGGGAAGCCTCCACCCAACCCATTGATGCAGCCATCACTCTTGAAAGTGCGCACCACCGACCGTGATGCGTCCCCAAGATATAAGAGCAAACATGTGATTCCATGAGGAAGGCCCAAAAGGACAAAGACTTAAAGACAGGCAGGCACAGCACATGAGATAGAGAGACTATAGGAGAGGTTAGTTAACAAAGAGAAGGCAATTGAGGAGAGAGAGAGAGAAAGAGAGAGAGAGAGAAACTATAGGAGAGATTAGTTAACAGAGAGAAGGCAATTGAGGAGAGAGAGGAGACTAGAACACAGCTGCTACTTGAGGGAAACAAGAGAATTAAAGGATAGAAAAGGTGTAAAGGGGGAGCGAGAGAGAGAGTATGGTTGTGTTGGGAGAGAATAGTGACGGTGTAGTTGCACTATGGGCTGTGATTGTGAGCATCTCCGTCTTCATATTCCTCCTCTTCTCGTGTGCGGATGGCCGCAAGGAAAAACGGTCGTCCCACACCGGCACCGGCACCGGCACCGGCACCGGCACCGGCACCGGCACCGGCACGGCTTGCTCTGCCGGATGCGGTGCTGCTTGCGGTGGATAACAATCCTTGGATGACTAACACCTTCTTTGGAATGATTAGTGGTTGATTTGTATTTAGAAGCGACTACTAGAGAGAGTTGTGTAACTTGCTCTCACATTATGTGATGGGAAAGAGTACCTTATAATATTTAGAATGATGAAAATTGGTGTTCTTATTTATTATTATCTGTCTTAATTACATTTTCTCTTCCTTACATGCAGTGGCACTAGATCATAGGTGCCCAATGGGCACACACACTGATGGAGTCCAGCAATGCACAACAAACTTTTAAGGCTGATGTGCAGCTGTTTTAGGCATATGTCAGCCAAATTTGTTGGTCAAGCCTCATATAGCAATTTGGGAGATTTTAGAGCTTTCCCTACCATTTTCAAATGGGTCATAGAGATTTTTATATCGAAGCAAAAGTTATGCCTACATCAAGTCATGGTATTTTTCGGGGTTACTTCTAGATTAGTTTGTCTTAATTCATTTCATCAAAGGCAAAAGTGTCAAGTTCAAGTTCAATTTCAAGTAATTCTGATTACATTGGAATATGGATTAGGAGGCCTAAGTAAACTATAAGGCTTAAGTGAAGGTTTTGATTCATATTTAGTAAACATTGTTACCTAGAATTCTTGTGAATTCTGCAGAAAGCTAGGTTTGTCAGCCCTCTTTAGCTTTGAAACATTTCATCAATCCTTTAATAAAACGTATGAGCTCCCTTAGTTAGTGATGATGGGGGGCATGGCATGTAAATGCCACACGTGGTTGTGAATAGCAACAGGGGCAAGCCTTGAACCCATGCAACCGATGGGTGAGCTTATCAGTGCATATTTGAGGCTATAAAAACCCTTTGTCTAGACCCTTGAGGGGCATTCATGGCTGTATAAGAGTGGGCTACATCCCATTACTATACACTGCATGTTTTCTATGCTTATCTCGCTATGTTCCTCGTGTACACTTGTGGATCGGTTTTTATTCGGCTTTGCATGGTTTGGCGATAGCAGAAATTAGTCTCCATGACAAATGGTTTTTGAAGTGGAGTTTGGAGATCATGGTTGACCGAATTTCGGGAATGTGTCACACCTTCAGGAGCAGGATACAAGGTGCTCAAGAGAGCGTGTTGCGGTAGAGAATCACCACCTTAAGAGGCTTCTATTAGAGACTTGGAGCGAGACTTTTCTACCACAATGCGTGTGAACTCTTTTTGCCTCACACAAATTTATTATGAAGGCATTTGGAAACCAGAAATTTCAGCACCAGAAGCCAAAATTTCCGGTTCTCACTTATTAGTTTGGCAATTTGAAATGCTGCAGCGAGAGGAAGCTCATATTTATAAACAATGGCTCCATGGAAGACGAAATTTCTTCAAGAATCTGAAATATGGATTTCCCATTTTCTGGATGGGATTCAAGGAGAGAATGGGAAATAGAATTTCATTTCGTCGTTTTGAAAATGAGAGACATTTCATTTATTTTCATTCCCTGAAGTTGGATCAAGACGAAATTTCGACGGTTTATGCAAGTCTGTAACTCACTCCATGAGTCCCCCGTGAGTGGCATGTCAAAACATGCACGAGCATTACACAGTTAACAATGGCCGATTACAAGTGCACTCAACCTGGCCGACAACCATCACACAAGTGCAGGTTTTGGGTAATTAAGCAATTTGAATCCTCTTGATTGTTATTGGTCTATGCCTTCCAGCTCAGGTGTATACTCAATCATACCTCTTCTACAAGGGTTGTGCATGACAGGTCATATTGGCCATGGGTGGACCATTTAAGCTCCCACCCATTCAACTAAGGTCCACCATGTCTCACCATCTTAACCATTCACCCATCCCATCATGTCAAAGGTCTTGCACCAATGGCCTTTACCGCTACATGCATCGGCACGTGCACCTGAGTCTCATTTACCAGGCCCTAATACTTGCCTCGCATCTACCCTATTACGCACTGGCCTCGCTTCTCACCAAAGTCCGGTCAAGGTTCTCTCACCACCTCACCTCTCACCAAAGTCCAGTCAAGGTTCTCTCACCAAAGTCCAGTCCAGGTTTAAGGTACTTCCTCACATATGTTTGTCAGTCTAAAAAAATCAGCCACCAAGAACGATAACCAAATCCCCAAAAGTATAACAAGCCCGTGTGATACTAGGGGGTCTTTTCCACATGTCAGCATCGCAGAGAGAGGTTCAAGAATCAGCCCACATGCAATATCAACATGTATCAACATACGATACCAAGCAATTTTAAAATGCCACGTAACGCTCTGCTTCATGGTCATATGCTGTGTGGGTCTCTTCGCCATCCATCAATCGATTACACGGTGATGACTCCGGGAAACTAGTTTTGTATACCTCATTCTTTCTAAGAAGCTCTAAGTCCCATGGCGTTGGATAAGTGAAAAAACTTCGAAAAATTAAAAAAAAATAAAAAAAATAAAAAATAAAAAATAAATAAAAAATAAAAAATAGAAAAGAAAGAAGAAGAGACGAGAAAAGTAAAGTAAAGAAACATTACCATATATACAAGCTACCATAATAACAAACTCGAGAAAACAATATTCACACAAGCGAGCCATGCACATTCCTCAAGTGCGCATATGCATTGTCACTGCTTTTGAAGCTCTCCAAACACACCCAGCACATGTGGTTCCCACACTTGCACTCCACATGGTTGCATCCCTCGGTCTTCTCTATTGTAAACCCACACACCGAGCACCTCTTCACATCATCCTTCCCCCTCCTCCACTCATCCAAAGAGGAGTCTGGATCATCCTTGAATTCCTTATATTTCTCACAAGACAAATAGGGATGATACTCCAAATGACACTTTGTGCACACCTCGACTGAACAGGCACCACACACAAAGAGATCTGCGGGCACACCGATTCCTGACACCTTATACACATTAGGGCAATCAGGGGTTGGGCAAAAACGGTAGGCCCCACCGCTTGCCCCCACAAAAGCCCCTATTGATGCCCTAAAGAGCTCCTCCAACTGCTCATGTGCTAAGACGTTCCTTAGGTCTGCAAGCAAGATGAAGGACCCACACCCTTCCCTTGCACACCTCATGGGGAAGCCCTCGTGGGAACGAGTAGCAGAGTCACATTGCTCGATCAAGCAGGCCCTACAAAACCCATGCCCACACCCTTCAAGCACGTATTTGTCCTCTATATTGGAGAGGCAGATAGAGCATGAGGCCTCTGAGCTTGAGGTCCCCATCTCCATGGACCCATCACTAAGCTCCTTCGAAATCTTCAAAATTATTTCCTCAACCTCTTGCTTTGACTCCTTTTGGACACCACTAAGCGAAATGACCTGGCGTCGAGGGTCAAGTCGAAGGTCGCCTTTGGATAGTCTGTCTTTGAGGCCATGAAGGTCAGGCCCGAACCTTTGGACGACCTCCTTCATAAGGCCATGGGGTAGATGGGACCCACGAAGAAAGATCTCCAGCTGCTTATCTTCATAGAGGGCCAACAAGGAGTTCATTAGCTTTTCTTCAGCTTGCACCACGCCATCGGAGGTGCCAAAGACTCGGACGATGAGATTGTGACGATCAAATAGGATGCATGTGCAGGTCTCTCGCTCTACTGACTTCATGAGGTTGATACCCTCACGAGTTAAGAGGAGTTGCATGCTGCTCGCATTGAGGCCAGGGTGGGTTATGGTCTTGCCTTTGATTAAACTCTCGATGGACCACCGGCACTGGGCAACTGTTCGAACTGCGGGTGAAGATATCCTCACTCGCATGGAGCCATGCCCTGTCTGCTCGAGGTCCAGGCTCACATCTGCATAAAAGCCAGCAACCTTTCAATAATTTTGCATTGTCAACCATTCTACATAAGAGAAGCTATTAATAAGACAAGGAAAGATTATTTAATTAAATCTCTTATGCAACATCCCACATAATACGTAAACATTTTTTTAGCTGACCCAGATAATATCAACAAGACGAATAGAATGGTCTTCTCTTTTTTTTATTCTTTTTTTGAGGAAACTGCCATCTCTCTCTCTCTCTCTCTCTCTCTCTCTCTCTCTCATGATGAGTGAGTAGTCTATTTTTTTTTCAAACGGTATACGGAGCAAACAAAATTCACATGGCATTAACATTGAAAAGAAAAGCATATTCATTTTTTATATTAAAGGAATGGTGCAGTTGAGATGCATCAAGTGGAGGAATTCTTAGTTGAAGGTGCCTGCCTGCCATTAACTTGAAATGCCAATATTATTTTATTATACCACAGATTCATCAAGTAGCATAGTTTATTTCAATGATAACGAAATACAAATTGCAATATAGCATGAAAAGATACATTAATTTCATTTTAATTTTATTTTTTCAATGACACATCAATATTCATCCTCTGTTTAATGATCAATTCAAATCACATCAATATTAATACTCTGTTTAGCGTGTGTTAAAGATGGGTAAAATATAATGCCAAAAAATACACATTTTGTTCTACAAGAGATCCATTCAAATCAGACTCAAGATAGTTCTATAACTCGTGTGAGTGAAAGGACTCATAAAATAGTGCGAAAAGCAATTGAAGCAAAGGTTGTTGGAACCCGAAGGGAACAAAAAATGGTATCATTCCCCTGAAGGGGAACAAAAACTATACAAATTGGTGGATAAGAACAGAAAAAAAGAAAAGAACAGATGGCAAAGCGAGGGGAGCCAAAAGTCTAGGAGATGACCAACTGCAAGGCACCTTCTCTGGCGAGGGTGTCAGCAGCCAAATGTGACTCCAGGAGATGCTGAGGTCCCGGGAAATCTGAAAGATTTCATCAAAGATGTGCTCCATTCTCCACAGACGGGGATAATTTGGAGGCCCAGGAAATGACATTCCTAGAATCGCCCTCGATAACAGGAGAATTGGTCCACAGAGGGTTGAATAGCCTGAGTCCTTCATGCAGGGCTAAAGCTTCAGCCATGTTGGAGTCGTTGTCGCCTATCGAGCGAGAATAGGAGAGGAGGGAGGAGCCTTAAGAGTCCTGAAAAAGGCCACCAATTCCCGCTGGACCGGGGTTGCCAAGGGAGTAGCCGCCGAAGTTGAATTTAATTTGGCCTTCTATTGGTTGTCTCCATAAGGAGCGACAGATGTGGCGGGGTTTGAGGCGAAGGAGGACCCCCCAATTTTGGTAGAAATCCACAGAGGAGCAGTGAAAATAATTAGATGGTTTTGGCCTTGGCAATGATGAGAGACAAAGACTCGTCAATTAGGGAGGCAACTGAGGATTTAATCCCTCTAAAGATTCTGGAATTTCTTTCCATCCAAAGAACCCAGAGAATTGAACCTATAGCCACCCTCCAGAGAATTAAACCAGATTTGTGCCAAGGCTGAGAGTATTAAGGAAGTAAAGAGGTGTGGTATAGATTGGAGGATAACCCATGAGCAATTTAACAATTTGAGGAAGCGACCCCAAATTTTGGCTGCAACTTCACAGTGCAACAAAAGGTGTTCATTGGATTCCTCTGCAGAGAGACACATGACACATCTATTAGCAACCTGAACTCCCCGTTTTTGCAGCTGGTCTAAGGTAAGGGCCTGCTCGGAAATGGCAATCCAATTGAAAAATTGGATTTTCGGGGGTAGCATGGACTGCCAAGCTTTGCCAGCAGATGATGAGGACGGATGAGGAGAGAGGCATAAGAGTTGAATAGCCTTGAAAGAAGAAGAGACCGTGAAGATCCCTGAAGAGGAGGCAGACCAAATGAGCTTGTCTGGGCCGACAGATGGGAGGAAGATTTTGCTGATGAGACTTCTGAGCTCGATGAAACCAGGGAGTTCATTATCAGAAATAGGTCACCTAAGACCAGCATTCCAGACTCTGGTGGAACCCGAGGTGTCGAATCTCTGGGCCACAGAAGCCGCCTGGTTTGTGGTGGGAGTGAAAAAGGCAGGGAACCTATCTTTAAAGGGTAAATGACCTATCCAAAGGTCATGCCAAAACCGCACCCTAGAACCCTCACAGGGTCTGAAACGGGTATTGACCTTGAAGAGGGAGACTTTTATTAATAGACTTCCAAATGCCTGACGCGTTACTGTTGACGTTTCCTCGGGGGAGCCATTCAGAGTTACGGTAGTGGTATTTGTGTCTCAGAACATGTACCCATAGGTGGTCAGATTGAGTGGCGAAGCGCCACTACCATTTCCCTGGGAGAGCCAGATTGTTTGCTCGGAGAGGTCAAATTCCAGGACCACTTTTAGATTTAGGTAAACAGACTTTGGCCCACTATATAAGGTGGAACTTGTGTTCACCTTCTGCTGACCAAAGACATTTACGCATTAGTTGTTCTAGCCTCCAGCCACAGAAGCTGGAATATGGAAGGGGGACACTTGGAAAATGGGGATGTTGGCTAAAGTGGCCTTGATGAGAGTCATCTTCCCTGCCAAGGAAAGAAAACGACCTTTCAAGCCAGTAAATCTGCAATCAAACTTGTCTATAAGGTATACTCCATAAACTCTGTTTGGGCATACCAAGGCACAGGGGGAACCCAAGGTAGGTTGAGAGTGGGTGGTTGACTTTACAACCCCAACTATGGGCAAAAGAGTTAATGATAGCAGGATCAGCCGCTACCCCTATCAATTTGGTTTTATTGAAGTTTACTTTGAAACCAGTGGCCAGCTGGAAACATTTGAGGAAGAGGAGAGTTTTTGTTTGATGGGGGGAGGCGTCACAGAAGATAAGAGTGTCGTCGGTGCATTGGAGATGGGTTACAATGGGGCCATGATTTGCTATGTGAAATCCTTTGAGAAGACTATGGTCGAATAGGCCAGAGATTGACCTGCTGAATACATCAGTGACAATAGTGAAGAGAAAGGGTGAGAGAGGGTCGCCCTGCCTGAGACCTCGTGTAGCAGAAAAGTATCCTTTGGGAGAGCCATTGATTAGGATGGAAAAAGATGGGCTGGAGATGCAACCCCTCATCCATGCCCTCCATCAAAAGCCGAAACCCATTTGGAGCATGGTTTCGTCGAGAATACCTCAATCCACGTGGTCATAAGCTTTTTCCCAATCAAACTTCACGACCACCCCGGGAACCTTAGCCATATGCCTGGAAGGGATGGGCTTCATGGGCCACTAGGGGACCATCCAAGATTTGGCGATCTTTAACGAAAGCTCCCTGGGAAGGGGAGATAACCCAACCTAGAGCTTCTTTGAGCCTGGAAGCCAGAACTTTGGCTAAAATCTTGTAGGAAGAATAAGGCTAATGGGACGAAATCTTTTAGCTCCTCAGGCCCTTCGATTTTGGGGATAAAGGCTATGTACGACGCATTCATAGCCTTGTGGATGGCGGCCCTAAAGTGGAACTCATTGTAGAAAGAAAATAGGTCGGGTTTAAGCACTTCCCAAAAGGATTTGAGCAAAGCAATGGGGAACCCGTCAGGGCCAGGAATTCAGTCATGTCCCAAAGATTTGATTGCCCTAAGAACTTCATCCTCTGTGAATGGATTTTCTAGCCAGCAAGCAGCTTCAGGGAGAAGAGTTTTGAATTGAAGGCCATCCATGGTGGGTCTGGGACCCAGATGGTGCTTGGAAAAGGGAAGAGAAGTGGTCCATGAAGGCTGTATCGATCTGAAAGGCCTGATTAAGAGTGTTATTACCCAACTTAAGTTGAGTTACAGTGTTATCCCTTCTTCTGCAGTTGGCAATTTTGTGAAAGAAACCAGTAATGTGGTCACCTAGTTTGAGCCACTTGACTCTCAACTTCTGAGACCAGTAAATTTCTTCTTTACTGTGAGTCTCCTGAAATGAAAGCTTAAGCTGGGATCCGATGTCTCTGTCACTAATGGGGAAGGGGTGGCTATCCTCGATTGTGTCCCAGGAATTGATGGAACGCGGAATGGACTCCTTCTGGGGTCTAGAGCTTCCAGGAACTAGTTTGGCCCACTCTTTGAGGTTAGCTTTGAGAAATTGGCATTTTCGTTGAATATGAAAATCCGCCCATCCGTGGACTCTCGAGAAGTACGACCTCCACCATGCTTAGACTAGCTTAGAGAAATCTGGCTCCTTCAACCAGAACAAATTGAAGCGAAAGGTTTTGGTCCGCGAGGGGCCGGAGAAGGTCTAGGAGGATGGGCCTGTGGTCTGAAGAAGGTTTTGGCAATGCAACAGAGTGAGTCCCTGGGAAAGAAGAGTCCCATGCCATGGACGTTAAGAATCTATCAATTTTGGATAAGGATAGCTCTGCTGAATGGTTTGACCATGTGAAAGCGGCCCTCTGAAGCAGGATGTCAAACAGTTGGTGTCTTGCCACAAAATCAGAGAAGTCCATCATCTGGGAGCTGATTCTAGAGCTCGAATTTCTCTCATAGGACTATTATGTTACATTGAAATCTCCGCCTACCTACTAAGGATGGGGGCGTTGAGAGGCCAATAGATCGAGTTCTTGCCAAAAGAGTTGTCTAAGAGGGTTGGAATGGGGACCACATACTGCCGTGAATTTCCATGGGAAGTTATCAGGAATGCAGGAAAGGGATAGGGTTACTGAGAAATCTCTAGCATGGGATGAGGACAGGGAGTTGAGAGTAGGGTCCCAGATTACCCAGATGCCTCCAAAAGCACCTCGGGCATCTAGAGAAAACTATTGGCAGGGACAGGAGCCCCACACTTGCCTGACTTGGGGGAGAGAGGGAGCAGGCATCTTAGTCTCGATCATGGTGAGGACAGAGGGGGAGAAACGGGTGCACAGGTTGAGCACATTGCGGTGCTTCAGGTGATCACCAAGAACCCTAATGTTCCAAAGTAGAATCTTTATGGGTGGGACAATGAGGAGAGCCCT